GAAAAAAATGGGTATTGTTTTCTCCTTATTTGTAAAACGTTATCAGTTTAATTTGCTATCCTACACAATATGTAAATAATGCCATTTTATTATTTGAATTTAGCATTATTTTTTTCCCCTGCTCCATCAGAACAGACATGAAACCCATTTTTGGGTTGCAACCCACCAATTAAGAATCACAACATCAAACAATGCATTATTTTGTTATGGAAAATAGCTATGCAATTGTCCTGCTTGTTAGCTAACAAATGTTACTCAAAATAATGGGCAGTGATTGTTTGCTACATAGCAATGTGGAAAAAAAAGAAATGGAAAAAAATCAGGAAACTCCTTTTTTTTTTTTCTTTTTTTTTTACATTAACAATACATTAACAGTTTTATTAAAGCAAAGTATGAATCTGAATATGTTCAGCTATTCTTTTTAATAGTTAACTCTTAACTACTCTTGAATTTCTCGGATCATCAGTCATCAAAGCTCAGTAAATATTGGTCGCAGACACAGAGATTTACTTTATATTTCACCAACTAAAATTTAGTAGGGGGACACAAATGTAAGTTTTATTTATTTCTTTTTTTTTGGCTAATTGACAGTTTATATTATTATTATTATTATTATTATTATTATTACTTTTAGTATCAGTATTATTAGTAGTATTATTATCTCTTACTTTTAATTTGTATTCTATAATATTTTTTCCCTATATTTTCCCATTAATTAGTAAATTAGTCTTCCCATTAATGTCATTATATTGTTCATTCAGTCCCTGTCCCAAAATGGCACACTTCATGTGGACTTACAATGGCCACCTTGTGCACATGTCCACTGAGTCCACGAGACCATATGGTGTCCCATTCGTCATTTTAGCTTTCAGAAGGGTGCTCGCGAGCGCGCCCTTTGTGGCCGTAATGCGCCCTCGTTGCGCACTTTTGCAGAGCCCGCACTGAGGCGAGCTCCGCAGCAGACTTCTGCCGACTGTCAAAGCGGCATTACGTCACGAAAGTGTGGACTCTGAGGAAGACCGCAAGGGTTTAGGGTGCGATTTGGGACAGGGCCTCAGACTGATTTGCGAACGCGCACGAACACAAGAGGCGGGATTTATCGCATGAACCAATCACAGCTGAACATAACAGTCATATCCAATTATATCGCGATGGAGGCATTGCCCCCTCTCACGTGACTTTCCCCCATTCATTCTCAATTACCCCCCAGCAAACTCATGGCATGCTTTAGGGGGTCTGTTAAAACTCAATGGGCTCAGTGGAGGCGAGAGAGAAATGGACTCCCGTTGTAACTTTACCTGCTGGTGTCGCTGTTGGACAATGTTTCTTTATAAAAATAAAAATAAATAATATTGTCGTTGTTTTATTTATTTATTTTAACTACAAATTTTTTCTCATCAAATATTTTGAGGAGGATCTGTCTCCCTTGCCTCCTCAGAGGAAACGCCCTTGATATATATACAGTACATATAATATAACATAATATAATATAATATAATATAATATAATATATAGTATTTTTTTATTGCATTTGCAGATCTGCAGGGCATCATTTGCCACTATGTGCTTGAAGAATGAGGACAAAGTAGAAAATCCCAGTTTCCAGTAGCTCTACAGTAAGCAGGAAAACCACATGGATTCCTGTCGTCTATGTTTCTTGGCTTGTTTAAATAGGGGATAATGTAACCTCTGCTCCGTCTATTGGGGTCACAAAGTAGAACAACATTTTTCATTCAATGGTTCAGTGTCTGACAGCCAGCAAACTGGTATAAATGCATCACGGGACCAGCAGTCAGCAAAATCAAACAAATATGACTTTCAAGCACAGTTAAAATTGAAAGTGCAGATTCCTCTTAATTTAGGCCAAGTGCCTCACAAAACTTCTACAGGGTTCTTTGGCTTGATGCATCAGAGGAACAGATGGAGAACACAGCACAAGTGGCAGAGCACAGTTATTATGGTCTCGCACATTTACGAAAAAAAAAAAAGAAAGCACCCTCACTCCAACATAATGGAGTCTTTGCCGGATCCGCTTTCCCAAGCCTGTGGAAACACTAATGCAAATGTATATTTTAAAGATCATGATTCGCAGACAGTTTTGAGCGTTTCCCCTTTGAAGCAGGAGCTCGGGGGCTTTTGGGAGTGTGTTGCACTGCTGTGTCCTACTGCTGCTCAGGAAGACAAAAGTAATATTCTCTGGTGAATTAATGCAGTGTCTCTAATTCTGTCTTCCCTGCCTCTCCTCTCTTAGTGCTGTAGGGTTTGAAAGAGCGAATAGAGTAATGAACATGGAAAAAGAGCGACTACTGCCAAAAAAAAACAACAACAACAACAACAACAACAAAAAAAACAGGCAGCTGAAGGATGGATTGAAGGCAAGAAAAAAAAAACATTGAAAAGACTATTCAAATCCCTTAGTTCTAGAAGAGGACTCCGAGGATTAAAACAAATCTCTCAAGTAATGCTTAAGAGGGTTCTTTAATGCATTCAGATATATTTTAAATGGACAACAATGAGCGTTCCACAGGTCTAAGGTGGTATATACATTAACTATAAAAATATCAGTCATAATCCTACTGTATGTCATTTTTTTCATATTTGACAGTATGCTGTATAGGCAATAGACACAGAAGAATCCAGCAATTTGCTATTATTCATAGAAACAAAGGAAGTGTCGCTTTAAAGGAATATTCCATGTTTAATACAAGTAAATCTCCAACAACATTTATATGTGTGTATTTATTTATTTATTTTTTATTTAAAAAGGAGCAAAAATCGAGGTGAAGCACATGCAATGGAAATAAATGGGGAGCCAGTTTTTGAAAAGGTAGTTTATCATTAAAAAAAGCACTTACATTTAATTCTTCTGTTAAAAGGGTGATTAAAATACATGTTAAATTAGATACTACATGAATTGCATAAATGATTATTGTTTTACAGTACTTTTAGGGTTTTAGAAGTTACATTGTCATGGCAATGAATAAGTAAAATGTATATCACTTTACATATATTTTTTTTTACCCATTTTACATCTTGTTGCTATTGAAACACTATTTTAACTTTTACAGATATTACTGAGTATTTTAGCGTTCTTGTTTTTTTCAAAGAGGGACCAGTGCAAATCTGAATCCTGGTGTAAGGTAATTAGTACACCTTGCTGCAAGTCAATAATTCATATTTCTGCATTCTTGCTTGACCGTATGGCACAGTTATTCTGTTTTGTATAGGGTTCTAGCAGTAGAGCACTATACATGTATTTAGCATTTACATGTCTTATTCATAGGTGATACACAGTATGCATAGAGGTGTCCCTGAAGGTATGAGCTATTATTCTTCATACATTACATTCAGGAAGAGCAATAAGCCTCTAAAGTACCCCTTGGAGGATTAGAAAAGGGTTTAGCAATTTTTGGATGCTGTTAACCAGCTGTGTCTGATGTGATGTGATGTGTATGAAGATGCTCCACTTTATTGTGTGTAATTAATTAAATGTCATATCAAATCACCAGGGACTGGCAGTTAATTGTGCAGGCCATGTTGGATAAGTAGTCACACCAAACTCCATCCACAACTGAACCAGCCAGCATCAAGATTTAGCTCCTTTTAGACTAATGAAGGGTATAATGTGGTGTGGTGAATTGACAGCTTGGGTTTGCTTTAAATTGTTTTATATTTTAATGTGGGATTAAAGTACTCCACAGCCTGTCAACGACTCAGGTATTCAAAGAGATACTGCACAAATTTGCATGTCCGTTAAATTAATGGAATTACTAAGTGCAATAAGTACTTATCCCTTAAAATAGAGATCACTACCAGAATAGCATAAGGATTTGTATAGGGGAGAATGGAGTGTGTTGTAGCACCATAATCTTTTCTGTTTTCTGTTGGTTGAGAGGACACGAGGGTTGTAACACTTTCCAGTGTATTTTTACTGGACCCACAAAGACTGCACAAATTGGGATTTTGTATAGACTTTATGAGAGTGACTAACAAACACTCACAAACAAACACACAATTGGGCCAGCAGTTTTTTCCCCACCGCTAACATTTAAAAAAAATTTTTTAGCAATGTATTTTTACTGTATATGTACAATATTTTTAATTAAAGGGGTAGTTTATAAAAAAAAAATAATAATAATAAAAATAAAATCTGTTGTCATTTACTATTACACTCATGTCTTTACAAACCTGTATGACTTACTTTATTCTGTTCTGTGGAATACACACACACACACACACACACACACACACACACAGGGAATCATATATTGGGAACCAAACAGTTTTTGTTACCATTGACGTTTTTATTGACTATTGACCATTGACCACAAAACAAACAAACAGACATAAATAAATACAATAAAATAAAATAAATAAAACGAACATTTCTCAAAACACATCTGTTATGTTTCAAGTCATACTTTCATCCTGGTTTGGGACGGCATGAGAGTGAGCAAATTATGACCTGTTTTTTGGTGTTTTTTTACAAAAACAAACAAACAAACAAAAAACATATTTAAACCTGTTATTACTTTGTTCCATAAACTGGACAAAAACATCATTATTCTTGAGCTCTGCTTTCATGTTTTGAGTTGTTAGCCTTTATATACATTTCCAGTTATATTTTCTGTTTTAAAGACATACTATTTGTTTACCAGTTTTACTTTGATATGTTTAAAATTAAGTGATTGTGGGTTTGGGTTGTAGTGGTGATGAGGGATGGCACAATGACATTGAATGAATGCATACAATTAAAATGTTTCAACTGTTGCAACACAACTCACCCAGATAGTGAAGGTGGGTTAACACAAGTACTCGTACTTAATTCGTAGCAGATGAACATGCCATGGGAAGATCACATCAGAGTTTTAGATAAATAGCCCACGTTAAGCACAGATTGTTACAGACATCCCCGGTCTCCCCTACAGGGGCATCCCACTATCTCACCTACAGCGAGTGAAGAGAGAGTGTGTGATAAATTTGTGATCGGAAGGGAGGTCAGAACAGTTAAGCCGCTGTACCTGTTCTACATCAGAGCAAAAAGAGCGTCTTTCCTGGGGCGAAGTGAAAAACACTCCCACCCATTTGGGTTTCGCCGTTCGTTCTGTGTATTGGAGGCTCCAGGGCTGCTGGGGAGGAGCGAGGCTCGTCTTTATCAGTAAGACAGCGCCGCTGCTCGAGCTCTACACTGACCGTCTGCCGCGCGCAATCACCGCTTGATCGGAACCCGCGCGGAGTCTCTCCGTTATCTCGCCGTGCTCCACTGCAGCAGAAGGGCAAGAGGAACTCCCGAGAGGATCACTCATTACATCTTCGCTGACCCTTCCTGGGAGAAAAACACGGACTTAACTGGCACCTGTCCTGGGAGATACTTAGTCGAAGACCTTTGCGTGTAACTCAGTGGAAGACAGAAGTTTTAGCCGTCTGTACCGTTGAACGTTTGTAACCTTGGAACTCGTGCTGTTCGGTGATGATGGGACCGTGGCTCGTCTCCATCGCCCTCTGCGTACACCTCGCTGTCCCGCATCTCGACAAAGGTGAGTGGCAGAGCGCAGAATCTCTGTTTTTGTGAATGATGTTGTTTAACTTTCTATTCCAGCAGGTCAGGGAGACAACATAAAAACGGTTATAATTCGGCACGTCACAGAATTACCCTAAAAGACTCGTTTACAACAAAATGTTTGTTGTGCGTCTCAACATGTCCTGAAATTAACCTCATCGCATGATTACTTTGCAGCAACTATATTTAAGCACAAGTCAGTTGCGGATATTTGAAATGCCATTTATTATAGCTCATGCTGTTTTTATTGGTCAAGTGAAGGTAGTAAGGGAGACATTTACACGCTATCCCACTGGCAGGCTGCTACGGCTTTCCTAAACATACTCCCACGATTTTTACATCTATGGCAAGCTATTTTAACATTTAAACCGTAAAAACGGACAAGTATCTGTTTTATTGTACTATTTCTTATTATTAATTTTCTAGTAATACTAGTCATTATGCTTATTTATTAGTCTACATATTATTATTATTATTATTATTATTATTTCATTTTATTTATAGGCGCCTTTCATGACACTCAAGGACACCTTACATTGAATCTATCAACCTTAACCCTTTGAGCAGTACGGTCCCACATATTGGATTTTTATTTCCGTGCCCCTGGGAGTATGGTCCCACATATGGGATTTAGAACGTTCGGTGATGTCACATAACTGCCAAATTCAAACTGTGCTTTTGCGCTTTAGTTGGCGCTGAGCCAGAGAGAGACGTGCACTGCTCTTGTCATATTATCACAACTATGCAGTGTTCTTAACCACATAATGCATATTTTAGGTTTCAGACATTTAAATACACATAAGTACTAGTAAAATGATACATTTAGAGTTTGAAAAATACACACATGTCTATAGAAGCAACAATAACAATCAATTCAAATTTAATTTGCCGATTTTTTTTTTATTCATATCAGATACACATAGTGTAAGTAACTATACAGTTCACTCTATTCTTCTCCCAGTTCACCGGCCACTTATTACTTGTATTTCGGGAGAAACTGATGAATTCACGTGCTGTAAATCCAACTGACAGGACTCTGAACTGCTACGCGAACAAACATGGTGGCGCCCATCTCACAATACAGATCACGATCAAGATCATTTAGAAAGGTTTTTAAACGACAAAACACTCTCCTTTACACATATTTGTGAATCGGAATATCAGATTGTTGTGTCACGTGACGCGTCGCCATGGAAACAGTAAGGGGAAACGTTCTAAAATAACGGTCGCCTTAAAAAAATTAAAAAAACTGGACCGCTAGAATATTTTAAACTCACCACTG